ATTCACAGCCCAAAGGGCAGAGGCAAGGTGCCAAGGACAAAAGTTGAGGGGATGGTTGGAGCTTCTTCTCTTATAAAGGCCTGGTGATGCCGGGCAGGGTCTCCTGTCCACAGGTAGAGACAGGAGTTACAGTCAGGCTCATATGCTCTCCCTGACGAGGTGGGCTCTTCAACCTCTAGAAGTGTGGGGCAGGGATGCCTTGGGCGCTTAGGAGGGAGCAGCAAGGGTCTGTTTGACTTTGGTTCTTCTGGTGGAGAACCCCAGCTGGATCTGGCCAACGAGGCTCTGAAATGGGTACTTGGCCACGGGCACTGAACCTGGTAGACATAAATGGCTTGGACTCAAAGATCTGGTCGATAGAAGTAGCTGGTGTGTGTGTGTGTGGGGGGGGGGCACAAGGAAACGGCCACAGAAAGGAGAAGCACCACTTCCCAGGGAGGGGACCTTAGCCGACACCCAGAGCGGGGTGCAGTCATGGCTGCAGTTAGGGCCTTTCTCTCTATTGGCACGTGACAGCTCTGTGGTCTTCTAAAACCTACTGAGTGGGCAGAAAACCTACAGAGCTGACCTGTGGGCTCTGCAGAGCAGACAGCACATGCTCTCAGAGCTTCCTCATCTGAGGCTGCCCATCTTCCCAGGGACTCTGGGAAAGGTAGCAATGAGCTCCTCTCACAGGTCTGCCAGAGGCTCTTGAGTTGAGCAAGTGGGATGATTGACAGGATTCCCTGACCTGGGTAGAGGCTTGCTATCTAGTCCCATAAGGAGAGTACCCTGAGGGTGGGGGTGGGAGAAGGAGATGCCATTTATAGGATTACACCTTCTAGACACAGTAGGGAGATACGAGAAAAAAGTCCACTTTGGGGCAGTACAATCCCAAGGACTCGGATGGGGGTGGGACTAAAGTCCTCAGGCCTGAGTGCCAACCCATTCTTGATATCAGTAAGTCAAGTCACAAAAAGCAACTTCTTTGGGGGCTTCCTTTGTAAATTGTAGGGGTCAGACTGGGTGATTTCAGTTCCTAACAATAACAAAATGCCCACGGTCATGGTGGATGTCTGTAAACCCAGTACTTGGGAGGTGAAGGCAGGCGGGTCCTGTGTTCAAGGCCAGCTAGGGCTATATAGTAAGACCCAGCTTCAAAAGATAAAAATACATTACCAACTAGTCTCCCAAATGAATGGTGAGGTCTCCAGCCTCGCGCCTGACTGGTGGCTAAGCGCATGAGTCTAGAGTTGGGCCACTTGGACTCAGATTGAAGATATCAACTGGGAGGTGAGTTGAAGCTGCATGGAACTGAATCTTTTTGTGCTTCAGTTTCCCATCTGGGGTTGACGAATCCTTTCACTTCCCTCGCTGAGACCATGTCAAAGGATGCCAAGGTAGTTGGCCTGTAACTTGGTAGGCCTGGGTGCTGTGTATTGTGGCTGGCTGTTCCTAGTGGAACCCGCAGGCAACCACGCCATTTTCAAAGCTCACATCGCGGCATGCTTGTTGCTCCCCCCACCTTCTTTCTCACAGCGTATCTTCACACTGTTCGCTTCAGAACGGTTTACAGTTTAGCTCTGGGTCCTATCTCGGGATGAGGGTGGAGGTGGGGGTGGGGGGCTCCTGAGAGGCCCCACACAAGGAGACAGGGCAAAGGACAGGATCAAAGGTTAAGCCTCTCACCTGGGAGCCTTTCTTGACTCAGAAGCCTCAAAGGGTGGGGCTTCCTGGGACTGAGGATCCCCTGGCTTCCTACCTGACCGGTTTGGAGCTTTTTAAAGGAATGACTGAGTCAGCTTGGTTTATCTAAGCAGCAAATGACCGCTTGGTTTCTCCCTGGGGGCAGCAGCCCTGGCAGTAAAAGCCACTCTGAGCATTAGAAGCTGTCCTAGGCCCAGGCGAGCATCTCATCACAAGACACTCAGAGATAAGCCCAAGAAACGCGCAAGCCCGCTCTAGGTTCCATAAATTGTGCCCTCCTTTAGGGGGAAGGGAGGCGGTCCCACTGTGACTGGCATGTGTGTACACACCTGTCGCTTCCACCTCAGATACGAAACATCTCAAAGCCAGGGACCTTCTCCCTGACACTAGAGGTACCTACCAGTCACCTCAGATGAAGCGACCACTTCTCTCCTAAGCATTCAAAGCTTTGACAGAGTCTATGAGACAAAAGAAACCTCAGAAGTAAATCAGAAACGGTTACACGAGGCTCACAGCCAGCTCCTCGACTCGCAGAGGCCAAGAGAAAGTTCAGGAAACAATGCACAGCCCTGGAGGTCAGAAAAACCTTGTACTGGGAGTCGCCACACCGACTCCTCTTGCCTAGCGGGACCCAGTAGGAACCGAGGCTCTGAAGGGAACACTGCCTGCCCCATCCACCTGCGCACTGGGCAAAGGGCAGGTGCTGCTCATTCGCTGAGGAGTTTGGACAGCGAACAGATGAAGAGGGTCTTTCTGCCATGATAGAGGAGGTCATGTCGGGCTCTTCTGGTCCTCAACCCACACACCAGAGCTGAAGTACCCAACTACCTTCCTGGGTTGGGCTAAGGACACTTCTCCCAGACAGACACCCTTGACCCTGTGGGTCAGCCTTGTGGTTCACTCTGGACCTGGGTGGACCTGCCTTTGTGTTTCCCGCCTCACTGACACCCGGCAAGCATAGCCACAGAGGGGGTCCCGGCTTCACACCGCTCTTCATGTTGGCCACACTACTGCTTTCTTTTTTCAATTCTGTCACTTTCAACAAGTCATTCATTCCACAGGTCGGTGTGCCTTCTGATGATGGACGGGAGAAGTCCAACCGGGCATTTGACGCTGTGAACAAGTCACGTGGGGCTGGCCTTTCTCTTTCCTGCCTCCAAGCCTCTGCCACATAAGAGTCCCAACTAAGCATCAAGACGTAGTCTAACCCTAAGAACTCTAAGAACGATCTATGGTCCCTTTCCTCCGGCTTCCCCACTCTTTCAGCTCGGATACTGCAGGAGCTGGTTTCTCCTCTGCAGTCCCCCCAGCCCCTGCAGGGAGGCGCCCCAGTCTCTGCCCGCGGCACCGAGAGCGCCGCTGGGAGGAACTGACCCAGCCCTTGGCTCAAAGATGAGGAAACTGAGGCTCGGAGACGGAAGTGACCGCGAATCAAAGCGGGCTTCAGATGCCCGCATCCTCCCGGCGTCTCACCCCTTTGTCCACACCAGCGCAACTGAGTTCTCGGTAATGTGGAGGGCTGGCGGGGCTGGAGAGTAGCCGACGAGAGGATGACAGGGCAGGACACAGGATGCCTCGTACCTATGGGCCCAGCAGGCCCCTCCCGGCCCGACCCAGACTCACTTTGCTGAAAGCGTGTTGATGGAGCCGGTGACCAACATGAGCCCGGCCAGGAACAGCTGGTACTTGGTCCAGGCCATAGTGGTGGACAGGGGAGACCACTTGAACCAGCAGCTACACACCGGGTCATCCGGGAGGTGGTGTCTTCCACTCAAGAGCTTCCGGGCCGAGAGTCACGTGACCTTGCTGGCCCCCGCCCCGTGCCCGCTAGCCCCGCCCCAGAGCTGCTGCGAATCTGCTGGCTGGCGAGCTGGAGAAGCACAGGGTTTTGGGGGGGGGGCGGGTCACAGGCCAGGCTCACCAGACGTTCCTCTCTCTGTCTCTCTGTCTGTCTGTCTCTCTCTCTTTCTTCCCTCCTCTCCTTTTTGTCTCATGCAAAGCCCGCTACTTCTGAGTGGCCTTCCGGTATGGAAAATGGGTGCTTGGAATCATGCAGAGATGATTAGGCGATCTTAGACCACTTTGTTTCTTAGGGCATTTTGTAAGCAGTTTTGAAAGGTTGAGCCTGGCGCTTGGTAGTAGGCACAGCGTGGGAATCTCTTTTCCCCAGGATCTCCAGAGAACTGGAGGCCTGGGAGATGTCCCTAGGGATCCCCCGCCCATGAATTGCTCACTTCTTTCAGTCAAATGGCGTAAGAGTCGAGTTCCAGCTTCCAGTAGGGTGTTCTACAGCTAAAACTAAAAAGAACAAGCTGGACGTGCAATCCCAGCACTTGGAAGGTGAAGGCAGGATGAAGCCCAAGGCCAGCTTCCACCATACATGAGACCAGCCTGAGTTACTAAGTAAATAAATAATTAAAATAACACGGGAATTTAAACCCAGAGAAGCCCAAGGATTTAAGGTCATGCTTATGAGTGGCCGAGGTGGTGATGGAGGTGGTATGGTGTGTTTGTGTGTGTGTTGGGGTCATGGACTCAGGTTTTTCATGACTGGGTTTCTCTGTAGCTTTGGAGCCTGTCCTGGAACTAGCTCTTGTAGACTAAGCTGGTCTCGAACTCACAAAGATCCGCCTGCCTTTGCCTCCCAGGTGCTGGGATTAAAGGCGTGTGCCACCACCGCCTGGCAGACTCAGGCTCTTTCAGCTCCTAAATACTATGGTTTGGGTAAAGCTTTTTTCACCAACCCTCCCCACTTATCCTTTAGAATCCTCTAATGCTGCCCTGAGGCATCCAAACAGAGACCAGCCCTAGGTTTGTTTGTAGGAGATTTCTAGCATTTAGTCAGTTTTTGAGACAGAATCTTGTTACATGATCCAGACCGGTCTCTAGCTCGCTCTGCACTCCAAGGTGGGATTCAGTTCATGACTGGCTTTCAATTTTTTCTTTTTGGTTTATCAAGAAGGTTTCACTGTGAAACAGTCCAGCCCTGTCCTGGAACTCTCTCTGTACTCCAGGCTGGCCTCGAACTCGCAGAGATACACCTGCCTCTGCCTCCTGGGTGCTGGGATTAAAGGCATATGCCACCATCTCCCTTCTCAAAATTTTTTTTTAATTACATTTATTGGGGCTGGAGAGATAGCTCAGAGGTTACGAGCATTGCCTGCTCTTCCAAAGGTCCTAAGTTCAATTCCCAGCAACCACATGGTGGCTCACAACCATCTGTAATGGGGTCTGGTGCCCTCTTCTGACCTTCAGGTATGCACACAGACAGAATATTGTGTACATAGTAAATATTTTTAAACATTACATCTAGCTCTTCCGTCCGGACGCGGGGCGGCGAGCGGCCGGCGTGCTCCGAGCGCCCGGAGCGAAGCGCTGCCTGGCGGCCCTAGGCGGCCCCGGCCCCGGCCCGCGCGCGCCCCCGCCTAGCGAGCGAGCTGACGAGCGAAGATGGTGGGCCGCAACAGTGCCATCGCCGCGGGCGTGTGCGGCGCCCTCTTCATCGGCTACTGCATCTACTTCGACCGCAAAAGGCGGAGCGACCCCAACTTCAAGAACAGGCTGCGAGAACGAAGAAAGAAACAGAAGCTTGCTAAGGAGAGAGCTGGGATTTCAAAGTTACCTGACTTAAAGGATGCTGAAGCTGTTCAGAAGTTCTTCCTTGAGGAGATACAGCTTGGTGAAGAGTTATTAGCACAAGGTGACTACGAGAACGGTGTAGACCACCTGACAAATGCGATTGCTGTGTGTGGGCAGCCTCAGCAGCTGCTGCAAGTGTTACAGCAGACTCTCCCACCACCAGTGTTCCAGATGCTTCTGACCAAGCTTCCAACCATTAGTCAGAGAATTGTAAGTGCTCAGAGCTTGGCTGAAGATGATGTGGAATGAGCCAGATATCAACACTATAAAATCTGTTAAAAATGATTTAACCATTAGCTTGGAAGCTGCTCGGCTCTGGGGGAATAAGGGCAAATGTGCTTGTCATGAACTGTCCTACACTGAAGTCTACGAAAGTGAATGTGTCCTTTGAGTAGATCCATTGTCTGTTCTATTTATTTTTTCCAGTGAAAAGTATTTTGATAGGACTTTTCATTTTATAAATACACTGAGTTAACCAAAATATCATGGATTTCGTTTATTCTTATGACATGGAATTCAAATGTAAATACAGTAAGTAGAGTATTACTGAGATAAAAACGCCCAGTGATGAATTTTGAAAGATTGGAAGAGAGTAAGAAGGATAGTTGAATAATGCCCATTTTAAAAGACTAGTACATTTTACTGTAAGTCATAAAATTGGATAGAAACATGTGTTTGTGAAAACTGAGCATTAAAATCTTACCGAGACAAAAAAAAATAAACATTACATCTATTTATTGTGTGTATGTCAGAGGGCACGTATTGCACGTGGGGCTTAGAGGAGAATTTAGGGGAGTGGGTTCTCAGCTCCTGTTTCTTGGGCTCTAATCTGCAGCCTATGTCCTACTGTAAGTTAAAAACAAAAACCCCAGTGAAGAAAAACCAAACACCCTGATGTCCGCTTTGACCTGGTATACATAGTCCCTCCATTTCTGGAGGTACAGACAGACGGTCTCTTGACCTCTTCTTTGAACTTATGAACATGAATAGTATAGACTCAGAAAAATCCTCAAGGGACTGTAGCAATTTTTTTGTATGATCAGATGGAGAATGTTTTATAAGTGGGGTCTTGAACAAAATAGAGGAAGGTTACCAGAGTGAGGGGCAGACATTTTCATGCAAGAAGATGCATGGGTTTGATGGCCCAGAGGCAGGAGAGAGGGTAGGACATGGCTTGGGCCTCCAGAGCATTCTCCAGAACTTTCCTTCACTAGACCGTGCTCTTTTTAGTTAAGTGGGGGGGATAAGAGATCCAAGAGGGGACTTCTTCTGAGTTTTGTGTCCACCACGGCATCTTTAGTCTTGTGTGATTTCAAAGGAAGTCATAATTTATCCAAAGCTGCTTACTGAGACATTGGAGACATCAATGAGACACAACTGTGTCCTAAAGGGACACCATCTGCCAGCCTCTTCCCAATGGGAGGCCATTATTACAGGTCATAGTCGGTGGGATTCTGGACTATTTTCCCATAGGTTCAAGCCAAGGATACTGTCCTGAAAGTAAACTTACTAATGACATTGGTGTCACTAGCCCGACATGATGTCACTTGCAGTGCAGTCTCTGTCTCTAGAGCCACATTATAAAATGAATTTTAATTTATTATATTATGTTGCAAGCATTCATCAAACAGCAGTCTCTGGAGTCTGATGCATACGAGGATTTATTGGCAAAGGCACCAGAGCCCACCAAGTGTGAAGCCCAGAGTCAAGTACGAGCTTCCAGAGCAGTCAGACGAGGTCACTGCCTTCAAGGGGTTCAGAATGCAGCGGAGGAAAGGCAGGGGCATTGACTATACTCCCTGTGAGAACTTCCTCAAGGTGGCAGGAGCTCGGGGGTGACAGTGACAGTCGGAACTATGTGAGATCTAGTGTTCCGTCTGCGTCAGGCCTGTGTTCGGAGGTTGACCCCTCCGTTTTCTCAGCAGCCCACAACTGAGCTAGTTCATTTCACCTGAAATACTGAACACTGGAAACGGCGAGTTCTGTGGTAGAGAAAGCTTATTGGCAGAGAAACCAAATGTGGATGTGGGAAATGACTTTCTCCTCTTCCTCCTTTTCCTTAAGAAGGTTCTCACGTTGCCCAGGCTGGCCTTGAATTTGCCCCAGAGCTGACAATGACCTTGTACTCCTGACTTGGACTTAGGGTGCAGGGTCGCCTGGGTTCTGTTCCTAGTACCAGAAAAGAAAGAAGAAAAGTAAAGCGGAAAATGAATCTTGGTATCGTCACGCACGCTTTAATCCCAGTAGATAGAGGCAGGGGCAGTGGATCTCCGGGAGTTCAAGGCCAACCTGGTTGGCAGAGAGAGCTCCAGGCCAGGCTCAGCCAAAAGAAAGAGAGGGAGAAAAAAAGGAAAGCAAAGGAGAAAATGACAAGAAAAGGCAAGAAGAGCCTGAGGAATACTCAAAGCTGTCCTCCGGTCTCCATGTGGACGCACACAAGCACAGACCCAGAATGAACAGTTATAATTCACCGTGTTTAGTGTATGTATGTCCCGGGTAATAACTTGGTCAACGACGAACTCCAGATGGTGTTACCTGGTGACACTGTGACTGTGTTAGTATTTGACGGCAGCCTGTAATGGTCACTCTTTCGCACCTAATGACATATATCTCAGAACGTGTGACACATATCTCAGAGTGTGTCCCTGTCTGTAAGTGACAAAGACTGCAATAGAAAATGAGTCACTCCCCCTTTGAAAACAAATTTAACAAAGACTGCATTTTAGCAGAATCGGCCTCAGTTCTGCTCCAAGAAAAGAGTCAAACATCAAACTTCTAGAATCCAGTGATTTATCCCCAAATGAGTGACCAGCTCTGGCTAAAAAGAGAGGGGGGGGGCGATAGAGGAATAAAGAAAAGAAAGAGAAAGAGAATAACCGTATGTGGGCCTGAAGCTGGAAGGAGCAGTGACTTTTTTTTTTTTTGAATCATCTCTGGTCACCATAGAAACCAGTTGTAAAGTCAGCTAAAAGGAGCTAGTGAACCGACGTCCGCACGTCTCTGCTAGTGTAGACTGTCCCTACCCATCTCCCCCATGGTGTAGACAGCCACACACTCTCCTGTCAGGTCTGACCTGGTTTCCTTGCCTCAATTTCTCTCCCAAGATATACAACCCAGCCTTCTTTCTCTCAAGTCTCTTGCTTTCCTGTCCAACCACAACCTCATATGGCCGCCTTTCAATACCACCCCCACCCTGAAGGGAGAGGGCAGCCGAACACCCAGCCTGACCAAAGGGAGATCACATTCCAGCCAGAGAACAGGATGTAGGAGGGGAAATAATGACCAAGGATGTGGGGGGGGGGGGGACGGACACAACTGTTTTTGAAATTCAAATCTGACTTGGCCCGTCTGTACACCTATCTCTCTCTGTCCTTCCTAAGATAAAATAATTCTGTTCTAATCCGGAATGTGATTCAATTGGTCGGGAAAATAGACTTTCAGACAAGCCGCAAGCAGACTGGCAGTCAGTTTTGAATACAAACAGGGTCTGCGGCGAGCGTTTATTTGGCACTGGAAGTTAGAGGTTCTTTGAGGGTAACATAGAAATCTGTTGACAATGCTCCTGGTTTACTGATCAGGTTTATGTAGGGCAAGAGGAGTGCTTTTTGGAAACCTCAGCCTGAAGCTTCGTGCTGCTTTGAAGCTGGGTCCAGGTCTTACAAACCCTCTGGCTGCTTTGGGTTCACCTCCACATCAGTCTTCCTTGCTATACAAGCCGTGAATATGGTTTCCCTTTTTTACAGAGAGGAAAGTAATGTAGGTTTTGCAAAGTTGATGTGGAAGCATATCAGCCTGCTTGGAATTTGCCTCTTGAGGCCCTAATGCCTTAGCTCATCTCCCTGCCCAGTGTGGGCAGGCATACCAACTCCAGGTTTCATCTCCAAGGTCCAGTCCAGCTGATGGCAGATACCTGGAATCCCTCTGCAAGTCACTCCCTAGAGTGACTTAGAGGGCTGCCCAGCCACTCCAGGATATCCAAGTGACTTTCCTACTAGTAGTGACACATCTTCTCCACCTGGAGCTACCCTGTACTCCTTCAGGGCCCTGCTTTAAAGCTTCCCTGAACCCGAGTTTCACAAGACTGAAGGCCTTACTCGACGGGCCACACCCACTCGTTAGCATCAGTAACTAAAGAGCTGACAATTGTCAGTATACGTATACATTAGAGTTCAGAAGCCCAGCAGAAGAATAAGATTTAAAAAATCCATTCATGGTAGCACGCACTTATACCCCAGGAAACCCAAACTGGCCAAGCCGAGGAACACAGCCACCCTCTTTCGTAGCCATGTGAAGTAAAAAAGCATCCATGCTGAGTTATAGAGACATCCACAGGCCCAGCATCCAATGCTGAGTTATAGAAACATCCACAGGCCCAGCATCCAATTCTGAGTTATAGAGGCATCCACAGGCCCAGCGTCCAATGCTGAGTTACAGAGGCATCCACCAGCCCAGCATCAGGCTACCCAGTGCTCTCTGTCCTGGGACTTTTGCTCAGCCCATTTGAATCAATTCTTCCACACCAGCTCTGCCCTTTCCATGCCTAGAACTGGCTCTGTCCCTGGGCTGTGACACTAACATCTTATCTAGACACTTGCAGTTATTCTCGGGGCTGTGTCGGCTCCCTGTTATCAGAATCCTGGGTGAGACACTCAGATATGAGGCCCTAGCATATCAGGTCATGTGACTTACCCCCAAAAAATCCTAACAGAGAAAGTAGTGGTGGTCACGAGAAAGCTGCGTCAGAAACATAGAGGGACACATTTGTACATCACAATTGATTGATTAATTAATTTTGAGACAGGGTCTCTCTACACAGCCTTGGCTATCCTGGAACTCACCAGGTAGACCAGGCTGGGCTTGAACTCACAGAGATCTGCATGCGTCTCTCTATCAAATGCTGGATGAAGGCATGTGTTACCACACCTGGCCATCTGGATTCTTTGGGTCATGATAAATGTATAAGCTATGTCAAGCTTTCTTGACTTTATTTTTTAAGATTTGTTTTATTTCTAGTTATGTGTATTGTGTCTCTGTGTGGGTATAGACACATGAGTACAATGCCCACAGAGTCCAGAAGAGGGCAGAGTCCCCTGGAGCTGGAGTTACAGGCAGCTGTGGGTCATCTGATGTGGGTTCTCTGGAAGAACAGCATGGGCTCTTAACTACTGAGCCATCTTTCCAGCCCCAATGTCATTGACTTTAATACCCAAGTACTACTAACTTCACTAGACAGGCGTGGCCATTGGCAGCCATAGGGTTTTTTTATTTTTTAGTCTAATCTTAATTACTAATATTAACTTTGGATCGCACTTTACATTTTATACACAAATACATGTGAATATATAGTCTTCGAATGCATTTATACTATATGACAGAATAGTTATGAGAGTACTAAA